AACTGAGCTTCCCCCTCTGGATTCCTGGGTACACGTGAGTCATAGGGAAACTCCCCTGGCAACAGGTACCAAACAACAATCTCTGTAAGAATGTAGCTTGCTAGACACCTTAACTTCTCATCACTAAATGGAACCGAGCTCACCCAGACTTCTGAAATACCTTTCAAACCAGTCTCTGTACCTAGAAAGGAACCAGTTATTTGTGTAATCTGGGCTTCATCCCCAAGCGCTCAGGTGTATTGGCTGAGTGATCTTGAACACATTGCTTGACCCTGTAGAATTTCAAATAACTTCTCTCTCACTTGGGGATGAATACACCTTAGACATGAAAGGATGGCTTCTTCTTAGGCCAAACAGTCATATGATCCCACTCAAGTTTAAGGAAATGGGGACATACAATCTTCCTATCATGATATCTAGACAGGGGGAAAATGTACATCTTTAGAGAATAATGGTAGTGACCACAATCTGGTCTTTTGGTCACCAGGTATTTGTTCCATTGTTAAATGTAAGATGTGGTCATGCCACTGCAAGGGAAACAAAACCATGGTCCATACAGTCTCTAGAATTAGTCAGACATGTCAGATTTCTAGGGGTTGCTAAGAAACCTCTCTACCAAGTAGGCTGTATCTTCTTTATTATGGAAACTTGTAAATGCGAGGAAAGGTTTTACATATTGCCCCACCAACATCTAACACGCACAGAGAATGAATCTGTTCATTTGAAAAGAAAGAGAGACACTTAATATTTGGTTCTATTGCAGTTTGAAATTGAAGGATATATGTCTGGCTAGGGAAGAGCTGCTTCTATGAAAGCTAAAAAATAATTTTCAGTTAGCTTTTCAGTTTAAAGCTCACAGGGTCTCAAAAACAGAAAAGTGACTTTAAGGACTAGGACAGCATACCCTGCTGAGATTCATTGTGTGACTTATGGTGTTCATGAACCCTATACAATCTCCTAGTATCTGATCTCATTCACAAATGTATCCCTTTATTACTTCATCCACTGGGTTACAGGAACAGGCATTGCGTGTCACCATTGTCATTTCCCTGGATGGAACTAACTTCCATGTTCACTATGAAAAGAACAATAAATCTGGAACCATGACCTGTAACACATACAAAAGGTGAACTTTGAAAGAATTTCTAAATATGAAGGTAAGAGTTATAGCCACTGGAAGAAAACATAAGAAAATATCTTTGTGAGCTAGGGTGGGAAAGGTAAAATTTGAAATGTGTATCCTCCAAAAAACAGCAAATGTGATTATTGATGGTTAAGAACTTCCATTTAGTAAAGATAATCACAGGGCCACGCCTGTGGAATAGCAATTAAACCTCTGCTAAGGACAACTCATCTTACATCAGAGTGCTCAGTTTGTTCCTGCTAAGACACATCTGGTGCCAATATGGGATCCCATCAGTTGCAAGGCAAGAATTTAGCCACTCAGCTACCACCCGCTCAGTAAATAATTTCAAATTACATTCCCGAGAGAATAAGCTGGCAAAGAAAAAAAATGGTACACACCTTAAAATGTCACCAAATATTAAACAGGAATTCAAAAGAATGACTTAGATTATTCTCATAGCAATGTAGATGGTCGTTAAAAACATTGCCATCCATGGGAAAAATGTAAAACAAGAATTTACTTTACATATATATATATAGTATATATATATATATATTTTATATATATGTATATAAATAAACCTTATGCCTATAAAATGATAGGCATTTTGACAGAGTAATGTAAAAAGAGAGATGTAAGCAAAATTGCATTTCTTGGCCTCCTTCCTCCCACACTCTCCACACATCTACAATTTCCATGCCAATGACACTGACTGAGCTGTTTATAGTTCCACAAACTCAGCACACTCTTGTATTACATCTGCCCTGGCATATGCTGTTCCTGCCCCTCCCTCTACTACCCAGTTCACTGAGGAATGGGCAATAAGTCCCTGTTGAAACTCTGAGCTTATAAACCAGCTTTGAGGGACAAAGTATCTGCTCAGTAAATACTGTTGACTTTAAATTCAATCTAAAAAAGAAACTTTTCAGCACCAAAAGCACCCTCAGTTCTCTTCCAATCTTTCTGGGTAGTAGCTAGAAGTTGTTAAGTGCCTTCCAAATCCCAGATTTATACTATCATATGCAAGCATATGCGGGGCGTTCAACATTCTGGGAACTCAATATATGAAAACGACTCGGGATGTAAAGTTCTATTTCTTCACTATTATTCATTACTCCTACTCAATATATGCGAGGCACTTCTTTTTTACCTCAGTGCCTGATGTTTACCAGTCCAGGGTTAACCTTCTAACTCGGTGCCTGCAGACAGCAAACCTCCAGTTAAATACTGGGCGTAGGAGAAAGCATCACAGATGCACTGGAAAGGGTAAGATCATGCTTGGCCCCTTGTCTATATTCATATTACTCAACCCACTCTCTTCATTCTACCCTGTTTAGAAGCTCCAGAATCCAGAACCTTTATGAGAACCTAGAGGACAAGCCTACTTACTCTTCTGCTTTTTTTCTAGCTTCTGCAACAGAATTTTTCAGTTCTGCTAAAGACAGATGGAATACTTGTCAATCTGTGTTCCAATTTTCCTTCTCATATCTTCTCAATTTTCTTTGGGTCTTAAAAGTTTATTCTGAGGGTCTGCCATGATGGCTCAGTGACTAAATCCTCTCCTTGCAAGTGCCAGGATCCCATATAGGCACAAGTTTGCATCCCAACTGCTACACTTCCCGTCTAACTCCCTGTTTATAGCCTGGGAAAGCAATTGAGGATGGCACAGAGCCTTGGGAACCTGCAGTCACGTGGGAGATCCAAAAGTGTCTCCTGGTTCCTAGCATGGATCAGCTCAGCTCTGACCATTGTAATCATCTGGGGAGAGAACCAGGAGATGAAAGATCTTTCTGTCTCTCCTTCTCTCTGTAAATTTACCTTTACAATAAAAAAAAAACCTTTAAAAGGAGTTTATGCTGAATGTAATGCTGAAAGTTCAGTTACTTGCATGTAAGGAGAGATCAGACATAAATATCCGTACTGCACATATCATCTTTAACCCTAAAGCTGCTCATTTGCCCACATTTTACACTATGAAAAACTTTCTTCATTAGAGGCAAAATCAGCACCTTGGTAAGATCCACCTCCTATTCTTGTCTGAACAGAACTGATACTCCATTATGGAGAGCATCTTGATATCCCTTTAACTCTTAATTCATCTCTTCTTCAGGTTGTGGACAACCCCCTTCCAATATCCACTAAGACACTTGCGAGCAACAGAAAGCACTCCCGAGGGGCAGGCATTTGGCACAGTGGTTAGTTACGACTTTGGATGCCCAAATCCTGTAAGATGCCCAGCTTGAATCTTGTTGCTTCTTTCTTCTGATCCAACTTACACCTGTGGCACACCCTAGCAGGCAGTAGCTAATGACTCACCTGCCTGAGTGCCTGCCATCCACGTGGCAGGATTATTGAGTTCAGGGTTCTTGGCTTTAGCCCAACTCAGTCAAGGCTTCTAAGGAATGAGCCAGCAAATGATAGTTCTCTGTGTCTGCCTGCTTGTCTATTAGTCATTCAAGAACAAATAAATAAGTAAAAATATTAGAAAACAACAGGAAGCACACATGGAAAACATGTGCAACGCAGCGTGGCATTGTATGTAGTAGAGGAACCCTGTGGCAGTCCTGCTCCCTCTTCCCAGATCAAGGGCTCTCAAGGCACATGCAGCAGCTGCAGCATCACCGAAGAGCCACGGAAAAGCAGCTCTCAAACCCCAACCTGGAGTGAGACCCAGGAATCTGTGTTTAAATAAGAGATACTCATGTGATTATAGCTGTCTTAGCATAAAGTCTGGTCTCGGGCACAGGGAGGAAAGAACAGACTTGCTTGCTGTGTGGCCGGGGCCATTCCTAGGAAGGGACAGATATGTATACAGGAGATGTGTTCAGCTGATTTGAATTATACCCCATACACACACACACACACACACACACACACACACACACACACACACACCCCTCCCTCTAGGTAGTTAATAGCATTCCTATGAGATAAACAGCTAACTAGGTCAGTCTGTGTTCAAAATTACCTCCTTCTGTGTATACTTAATTCTCACGGTTCTGCTTGCTCTCTCTACATCCTGTGCATGGTGTCTGTCCTATGACAGCTGAACCCTTGATGCTGCTCACTTATAGGGTTGAAAACAGCTTTTTGCTTATCGTGTTGCTGATGGCTGTCTCAAATAGCTTCACTCTCAGGAGGGAGTGCTCTAAGTTTTTTGCCATTTAGAGCTAATATACAACAGAAATGGATAATTTGTCACTTTCGGTTTGATTTCATTCTAGTCCTAAGAACCTCTGAGGGAGATCGACTCCAAAGGAAAAAAAAATCTCAGCAATTTTAGTTGAAATACTGTGATTCAGAGGTTTTTGGAAAGTTGCAGTACAAGACTTGAAAAGTCATAAGTAAACCATAACCCGTCTTCTTTAAAAGGGGATCTCCTCTATCCCCATATTAATCTTGTCCACCGTCCCAGTTGCACACTAAAATGCTGCTAGACCAAAGATCCAATACACGTGAAATAAAATTAATGGTTTCAATGTCAGGGTCTCTTGTGTCCATAACAATGCACAAAAATTTTACATCTATTAGCTAAATTTACTTGAAGTTTCTAACATTCTTGAGTTTTATTCGCCACCTAAGTAAAAGCAAATTCTTCATAAGAGTTCAACAGCTTGATCAAGTCTATACAACAAGTTAATGAGGATTCATCTACTCATCTGAAGCATGGATGCAGCAAGCTATGTTTCAAATAAACTGGATCCCAACTCAGAAAGAATTAGGTCATTTCAAAATAATTCCAGTTCATCTGTCCAGAAGACATCCCTAACCATTCTGAGAATCTCATCCATCCCACAAATTGCCCCCTTTCCCGTGAGACTCAGCAAAGCTTTATGAAGGTTCCTACCACCACAAATCTGAATCAGGAACTTACTGCTCTCTGTGACTGTTTACTTGTCTGTCTGTTCCTTCTGCAAGACTTTCAGCTTTTGAAGGGCAGGTTAGTTTGATCTTCTGCCTTGCCAGCACCTAGGACAGGGCCAAATACATAGGACATAGTTCGTAGTTAATGATTAAATTAAATAAAGCAGTGGATGACTGGATGGGTTCCAAAGGGAAATGACAGCAACAAGCACATGACACTGGTATTCACTGACCAAGTGCTAATTAGGACAAAACGATTAATCTGCAAACCCTGGGGCTTAATTCTACTTTACTTCATCATGTTTTTAGCATCTCTGTCAACTTTCTGTGTCCTTTCATTTCCCTTTTTCCTCTTCCCCTTCCTTCTCCTCTCCCTTTTTTTCTCCCTTCCTTTTCCCTCTCCCTCCTTACCCCACCTCTCATTTAACTATCTATAATATAAAATTGAAATTATACATGTGATATTTGCATTTTCTGTAATTCATGGTATAAACAATAGTTCCTCATTCTTAATTTCAAAATCCAGTGGATGGAACATTCTTCTAATGTCTAAAAATAAGGTCCAAAACATAAACACCCACAATTCTCTCCCTTGTAGTAGCAACATACAGTAAATTGGTTTTCTTTTCTTTTCTTTTGGTGAGTCAGCAACCACCAATAAAGAAAAAAAGATGTCCAATACTGATCAGCAGTAGTAATTAACATGTTAGCATCAAGTACGAGCAGTGTGTGTACATGCATGTGTGTGAAGATCATCTTTTTTGCATTTATAAGCAGACAATTGAGGCTTAGAGAGGTTACGTATCTGTCTCACTATTACCCAGTAAGGAAGAGAAGGACATGAGATTCAGACTCCATGCTTCAATCTCTCCTATGAAATTAAAGAGGTCATATTAGTAGGAGAAAGAAAGAAGAAATGTTCCCAACTGAACACAAAAATAAAGGATTAAGAAATACTTTTTGGAGAGTTTCCAGCTTACTAGACCACAGTTTTGTAATCATGGGTATAAAGCTAACATGCTGACACTGCCTCTGATTCATCTCTGCCACCCTGTTCAGCTCTTTACGAAATTAAACCACATTGTAGAAAAGGAAGCAATATAAGACTTATAATTATTTCTGTTGAAAATCAGATAACATAAACCAAAGGTAAAAACCAGATTTATATCTCTCCTTCTAGTCACAGAAATATTGAGTGTGAAAAACTTTGAATTCCAAATTCCAGAAACAAAACCGTCTTTGCTGGCTTTGGAAGATTCTCATTTGGTTTCACAGCCTACATGCCGCACGCCCCCACTCTCCTGGCATCTAGTTCCTCTTCCACACTAAGGCCTCTGCCAGAAACCACAAGATTCTGGCGGGGATGGAGTTGGGAGGGCAGTGACTCCCCGGGCCATTCCCCGTCGGTGGTACTGCTGAAAAGCTCTTGGTATCACTTCACCAGCATTTTCTCAGGCTGCTCTGGGCTGAGCGAGACATAGGAGGAAACCAGGCAGGATGTCAGCCTTGCTTGTGTTCTGAGAATTGCTACTTGGCCGCAGTTTTCTTTGGCTTGATTCATAGCGGTGGGCAGGGTGGAAAGTGTTAAAAAAAAAAAAAAAAAAAAAAAAGCACAGCTGATGCTCTCTGAACTTCTCAGGCTGAAAGTTAGAGAGATTTTCAAGAGGCCTCAACCCTAACCAAGGTGCAGTGGTCTGCCACAGCAGCCAGTCCCAGATGCAATCCCACTGGCCACAAACTGCAGAGTCCTGGAGTGGCGGCATTCTTCCCTTATACTCTTCTTTTTCTGTTGAATTTCTTCCCTTCATTCTTAAGAACTCAGCTGCACTCTTACGAGTGAGTCTTCTCCCCAAACGCAAGCTAAAGCTTCTGTTCTCCCAGGCTGCATCTTAATAAAGTTTTCCATCAGTACAAACTTGTGGTTACAGATGGGCCGTGTATTTAATCAGGCCTGACTCCAAGTTTTGAATCTGCCAATTTCAGTTGTATGACTTCGAGCAATAATCATCTTTCCCCAACTCATTCTCTCTGTTGACCTTCAGGAGAGTAATTGCCCAATCTGTGTTTTAGTTCCTACTTATAACATAGCCAATTGCGTGTCAAATAATTCCACTTGGATGTTCTTTTACTGCCACAAAGATGACAAACAGACTTGCCCTGTGGTAAAGTTAACTAAGTCACCACTTGCAACCTGCCATCCTATATCTGTTCAAGTCATGGGTGCTCTACTTCCATTCCCTCTCCCAGCAAATGCACCTGGGGAGGCAGCAGATGATAGTCTTAAGAACTGAGCCCCTACAACTACCCATCTGAGATCTAGATGGTTCCAGCTTCTGGCTTTGGTGTGGCCCATTGGGGAGGTAATCTGCAAAAGGAAGCTTTCCTGCTCTGTGAATCTTTGAAAGTCAAAATGATTCTTTAAAATGCAACAAAAGACATCTACTGCTTGTCATCCATGTCAGCATCCTTTATATGGTCTTTTCTTTCTGATAATCAAGCCCCCTATTCCCTACTATCAATGTTGACTCTTAATGTTGATTCAGAACTTACTTCCTCTAGAGTGATCCTCCATAAATTCTCTGCTAATCTCTCATCCTCAATCTCAGACATGTGTTACTCTTGCCTTCTTATTTCCTTACATGTATGCTGCATTCAGACTAGCCTGAACTCCACAGCCAGAAAAAGTGTTTCTGAAACCACATTCACTGAAATACCTTCCCATCCTCACCATCATCTCTATCGCCCCTGTGGAATCACCATCATCTTCCAACTGGGAAAAAGTCACTCTCCTTGACCTGTCACTCAGGGCTCTTCATAATCTGAACTCAGTTTCGTCCAGCGTCATCTTCTAGGACTCCCTGTGAAGCCATTCCCCTCAACATGTGTTGGTTCATTCACTAATTTTTTTTTTCTAGGATGCCAACTTGGAGCCAGGCATAAGGAAACTGTGTGAACTAACAGAATTGTTTTCTAGCAGGAGAGCCAACAACCTTTACAACAAGAAAGCACGTATTCTATGGGAGGACAAATTGCAAACTTCTGGTTAAAGTATGGCAGACAGATTACAAGCATTATTGAGTACATCTTTTCCTTCCCCTGACAAAAGAAACAACAAAAGAGATATTTTAAGGTATAGGTAAACAAACAACTTGAACAAATTTTAGATGAGGGGATATAAATATATGTGCGATGATCAATTTATCAGACTGAAGAAAGCTTGAACTTAAAGGGCCCATAATCAATCTTATGCACTCGGCACACCACCTGCAAGGTGAGGCACTCAAAGCCCTGATGCTCCATGAGAAGGAGTAAGATGGAGCTGCACATCTGCACACAGGAAGAGGCAAACCCCAAGATTCTCCCCTGACCTCACAGAGCCTTATAGTCACGTTTCAGGCAGAAGACAGCTGAGCTAGGGTCTGGGGGAACTGCCTGAAGAAATTCAGACTCAAATACATCAGGTGACAGAGGGACACTGATGAGGCAGGAGAACAAAGATGATCATCACTATATTGTCAGAACTCTAGGGCAAAAAGATGATCCTACATGTGCACAGACCAGGGCTGGAGAACATAAGGAGAGGTTCAAGACTGTATGTTCACAGAAATTCAAGTTGCAACTAGGCTGCTTCCAAGAAATGCTAGATGTCAGAAACTGATGGAAGGAAAACTTCCAAATTCTGAAGAACACTTGGGATACGACTAAGCTAAGCTGCTAATAAACACAGGGGAACATGCCTAGCCTCTTTTTAAGGAAGTTACCCGATAAAAATGAAATAAACTAGGACCAGTATGGTGCCATAGCAAGCTAATTCTCCACCCGCCAAGGTTGATAGCCCCTTTGGGTTTGTGTCACAGCTGTTCATCTTCCAATCCAGCTCCATCCTTAGGTCCTAGGAAAGCTGGAACGGATGGTTCAAGTCCTTCAGAGCCTGCACCCATGTGGAAGCCCAGAAGAAGCTCCCAGATGCTGGCTTCAGATTGGCTCAGCTCTGGCCATTGCAGCCATCTGGGAAATGAACCAGCATATGGAAGATCTTACTCTCTGTCTCTCCTTCTCTCTGTAAATTTACCCTTTCCAAGTAAAATAAATAATATAAAAGGGGGAATAAAACAAGAAGGAAGAAGATGAAAGAAATTCAAGAAGTAGAGTCCAAAGCAAAACAGCAATGGAAGGAACCCTGCCCAGCAACGGGCTGAGTTGGCAGGATGCAAACAAAACCAGTAATGCACACAGAGAAAGTGAGCAAACTGCAAGGAAGCAAGATTTGGCAAAAGTTAATATGTGATACACTCAAGGTCCTTCAAGGAGTTCATAGAAAAACCTATGTGCGGATTTCAAAGCATTTTACACAAAAATAAATTTATCTTTTAAATCAATTTCCCCACAAATTTCTTGATGTGCCCTCATATTTTATCACAGATAACAGGGGTCAGCCAACTATAGTCCTGAGACCAAATCAAACCTGCCACCTTATTGCCTTAATAGAGCTGTATTGTAACAGCTACACTCATGTATTTACATGCAGTTCTGTCTGTGATGATTCTCATACCACACAGCTCAATCAGAAAGAACTGCCATAGTGTCTGGACTCCAAGTCAAGAAATAATTACTACATAACCCTTTACAGAAATGTTTTGTCAACTTCTGCTATGAAACGAGGGACAAACAGCGAGGCATTTAGTCTCCCCATTAAGAAATTGTCATGGCACGTGCATCCCATTCTGGAGTGTCTAGATTCCATGCCTGCTTCCTGGGAAGCCACAGGGAAGGAAGGCACAGGTGATTGTATCCCTGAAGCCGATTTGGGAGACTGGGATTAAATTCCAAACTCCCAACTTCCATCCCACTCAATCCCTGCTGTTACAGACATCCATGAAGCGAAAAAGACTCTCTCCCTTTATCTTTTTCTCTGTCATTCCACCTCTCAAATAATGTCTAAACGAAAAATGAATCATTTAAGGGTAAGAAATACTAACCTGGACTAATGAGTAAAAAATGAATGTATTTATAAAAAAAAAGCAATGCCAATTAGAGATAAAGGAGCAATTCAAAATCCATATCTGATAGATCTACACAATGAAATATTCTAGTACACTAAGT